TTTTTTTTTTTTTTTTAAAAGTGTTATTGGTTTGGAGTTTTTTTTAAAGATTTCCTTTAATAGATGGATCAAGGTTTATTACAGCTCCCACCAACAGACATTTAAAGCATGACTCACATAACAACAATAAAAAAATAACAATACATCATGTAATCTGTTATGGGCAAGACATCCTTTCACAYCATGATTTGTTGAAAATGCAAAGCAAACATGCAGATGTTTTTGTTTCTTGTTTGTTTGTGTTGGGGCTTTTTGTTTGCTTTTTTTAAACTCAGAAATTACATTTGTCTATGCACTTAGAGAACAGGCTGTCCCCTGAAAAGGCACTTTCAGCAATATTCCTGCTTTACAAACCACATATGCCAGAACACCTTGGAAAGAAAGAGCATTTTCTTCAGGATTTGTGTTTGCAGCATTCAGCTGCGATTTTGGCAGCTATCCGGAACCGAAGGTGCGCGGAACGCTTCGCAAACGCCCGTTAATCTCTTTTGTTTGTGTGAWCAAAATAAACACCCAGCACTAGTGCAACAGGGTGTGACAAACAGAAAAAGCAGTCCACATCTCAGCTGCAATAAAAGATTTAGCTGGAAAAGAGCGAGGAAAACGACAGCAAGTCTGTAGCGATGGAAAGATGCGGCGTGATGAATGTCCTGCTGAGTTTCAATGAATGTGCTGCTTTTGGAAAGGAGTTCCTCAAATTTCTGCAGCACGTTTAACAGAGACCTGGTAATTGCCAGTAACCTTGGCTAATCATGGCTGGCACCTGGCTGCTTCTCCCCTTTGAGCATTTTTCAGCACATTTTGTAGGGTTGTAATTAAAATTAGCAAATTAATTATATGTTAACCTTGTGGTAATTTAAGAAGCCATTATATTTTCATTTCTCTATTCAGCTYAAGCTTTTTTCTAAAAGAAAATTTGGACAGTTTTCAGCTGGGTAACTTATCAATTAAAACGGGACTCAAATTTTCCCAAATCATTCCCATTTTCACCCACTGAGATTTTTCCTGGCACACTAAAAATATGCATAAAATCGTGCCCACGAAACCAAAAAAAAAAAAAAGGTGAAAATAGGTTTGGAAACTACATTTAACTCTGCAAGCATCGAAGGACAAATGTCTCATGATCCTGATGCAAGACTGAGTTAAGGTTATTAACCAACCACAGAGTGCAGCTTTTATCTCAATTTACAAAATACATACATAAAATATGGTTTCATGGACTGCACTGGAGTCATGCTGATGCACGTGGAAATCAATTTGAATGAAGTATCCTTCAATACAATCCCATTTTCTTCCATCTTACAAGCAATACCATAGAGAAGTTCGATTTTTCCTCATTTCAGTAAAAATATTTATTCTTGTTGAAATATGGCTGAGAAACATAAAAAACCACTGTTTTCCAAGATTCGTGCTTGCCCTCACTCAAGCATGAACCAAGTTATCTACATAACAGGGTCATAAACACTATTTATTTCCAGCTTTATTCAGCTCCCATCTAACAATAAAGGCAATTTTTAAATGCTTGGAAATCTGCCACTGCTGCCACCTGTCCTGCACTTTTTATTTGGTGGAAGCTAATTTTAGTGTTAAAACACTGCAGGAATCCAGCTGTCCATCAACGGTGAGTGCTGCTTGCAAACTCAGACACTTTCAATTCATTACAGCAAATGGAATTTATAACCAYGGTCTTTTCACGTGTCATGGCTGATGGAACAAGTTTAATCCTATCTGGAAAGTGAATGACTTTGGAACTGCAGGTCAATTGCGAATGAATCCTTCTTGCTTTCCTTTCTTCCCCAGTGTTGGATTGGAGAATTGCCCTGTTTAAAGACTGTTTCCTTGAGTGAGTCCTGCACTGGACCTCTGTCTGCTCAGATTCTGAATTTTTAATTTACAAAATCAATAGGGTGTTCCTAAAGTTCCTTTCTAAACTTCAGCCCTCTCAAAAGTACACGATTTAGGCTCATGGCAAAGATCCCTAAGTGACCAGCAGGTCRCTTTTCAGAAAGCCTGCACTTCTGGGATCTCCTTAAAGCAGTGGAGCCACGCCAGCATTGCCCAAATCCACGCTGGGATTGGCAAAGGGCAGCAGGGCAGGATTCCTCTGGCAGCACAGTGGGACAGGAGATGAACCAAGAGTGGGATAAACAAAATCCTTCATGACATCTCCAATTATCCAACACATTGCTGCTTCTTGAAATGGTGCACACCAACACTAAAAGGCTTGGGAATATCTCAGTGAGGTCTGTAAGCTTCTCCTAAGATCCTGTGCTTTATTTGTAGCTTATGTACAAATACAGGCCTGCAGGAAAGGGAAAATGTTGTGGATGTTTTGGAAATTCAGATTTAGGATGCTCAGAACACCAAGAGAGAAAAGCAAATAACAGCCTCATAAAGTGCTGTGTATGTATCATTTATCAGGAAATCATTTAGTTCATTTAAWAGACCATTTCCAGCTGGTTGTCCTATGCCTTTTGAAAACACTTTTTTGAGGATTTCCTCTGCACAGAAAGATGTTGATGTATGTAAGAGCTGGTTCAGGGAATTAGGATCAATTCACTTCTCTTCATCTTTGCTTTTCCATCTTTAGATTCTAGCACTATATTTGCATACTTGCCTCAGGAAAAAAGTCTTTCTATCCAAGCCTGGTTTGGGGTTTTGCTGTAGAATTTGAGCTATGCACACACTATTTTTGTGTGTTTGCTGYGTGCAGATGCTTACCAGAATGTGCTACATGTACTTCCTCCATRAAGTTAAACTGAAATGAAAGTGGATAATTCTGAGCTGTGAGGGAAAACAGTGCAGAAATTACACTCTCTCTTCAAAGGGGCACACTGAAACCAGATCAGACATTCTGTCACTTGACACAGGCCAGCAGAGACAACTGAGGGGCATTTTTTGGCTGTGTTCCCTTGCTGTAGGTGTTGGCTGCCCTTGGTGCTCCTGGCAGCAGCACCAGAAGTTTTGTATGGACTTTGTGCATGTCTGTATTAATATCTGGACAGTCTAAAACTGAGTGCTTGTGAGAAACTGCCAATTTATTGTTTCCCTGGGAACTGAAAATTTTCATAATCTTAATTTTTCTCTGCAGTCTGCAGCTAAATATCTGCACTACCTTCGCACTAAGGGTAGTATTTTTCATATCTTGCTCTAATTCAGTTTAAGACATGGCCTCTCTTACCACCACGAAACTATTTTTGTAGTTTTTTAATTTCAAGCCTTGTTACAACATGGAAATCTCAGAGACACCGTCCTGTTGCCTGCTTTTACCCCACTCACTCATTTAATTGCCATTAGTAGAGAATTGTTAATGGATCTGGCAACAATCTACTATGGTGGCTTTGCAAATGCTCCAAAATGGTGCATTTTTGTATTGAAGAATAAAGGCACCAGTKTGTTTTGTAAAAAGCTCTTGCAGGATGTTAATCCTGTCTTTTAAGGACAGGTCTGTAATTTTTACTTTTAGCATCCCAGCTTATTGCATTATTCATAAAGGTATTTATGCAGACAAGATAAATAGGATAATTTATCCCAAAATAAAACACAATGGCTTCAGAACCCTGTGAAAAAGTAAAATTAAAATAATTCAATCTTTTCTAATGCCYCATCACATTCAAGTCCCTGTGTGATAATACTAAAAGGAAAACTGTTTGGTGTCATGCAACAGCCAGCAAACTACAGTTTCAATGAGACAGAAGAGTTTTATTATAGAAGTGTCTATTCATCAAACCATTATCGTATTCTTTTTCATGCAAAAAAAAATATAGGTTCCTTATCTTTAGTTCTTTGTTGACTAGGAGACCTATAAGCAGGAAAAAAGCATGTACTAACAAGAAAGGATCACACAGGTCTCCAGCTTCCTGAATTAAAATTGCACCTTGACAGCTGACTCCACTGCTCCCAGAGCATTACACCTTTTTTTCCACATTACAGTATTTTTCCTCAACGTAAAAACACCAGAAAAATGTACCCAACCAACCGAGGCATAAGTTATATTTAAAATACAGCCTCTTCTCATCTCCTACTCCAGCCTGAGCCTCACATCCAGGAGACAGAGATAGCAAGAAAGGGATGGCACTGACAGCACTATGCAAACAGTGTCCCCGCTGCAAAGGATTCACTCGACTATTTCAAATAAACCCTGAAAGCAAAGACAACTACTTTGGATGAGAACAGATGAAAAAAAATCTCTTTCTCTCTAAAAAACTCCAAGAAATCCTCCCACCTGCCTACCTCCACAGTTTTACACAAACTTGCACAAAAGATGAATTTTATCCTTTATTATTAACCCTTACAGTCGTTACATTATTAAATCTCTATATTAGCCTTGACAATTCACTACAAGAAAGGCCTGCCTTTATTTTTAAACATATGCAAAGCAGAAATACAGTGCCATCAGCCACCCTAAAAGCCTGATAGATTTTTCCAGGGCAAAGTAGGAGAGGCCAAAACACTCTGACCTTGGCACAGGTTTGCAGCCYTGTGTGCCTGGAATGCCAAGGATGCAGCTGGTCCTGCAATTCAGCTGCTAAACAAACGGGAACTTGGAGAACACAGATAACTCTGTAATTAAGTTACACTTGAATAATGACTCGTGGCTGCTGCTCAGCCTCATGGGGCCACTTCATTCTTAAGACAACAGAGATAGTAAAAACCAGAAAGGACAGGAAAGACATCTGTCTGGGAACTAGCTATTGGCACTTTAAAGCATCAATTTTCAGTTTCACGGCTTTAAGTATCTCAGGTGATAAAGATTTCCCCCATCTCTGCCCAAAGCCAGCAGCAGCTTTGGGATAACTGCTTGGGAAATCTTTCTGTGACATTTGGCCTCCTTTTAATTATGCTCATTTTAACTCATTAGGAGGTTTTGGGCAAACAATCAGCACCAAATAACACGTTCCTCTCTCYTCAGTAGTCGTGGCTGT